AGAGAGTGAGAGAATGAGAGAGAAAGAGAGTGAGAGAGTGAGAGAGAAAGAGTTCGAGAGAGTGAAGAAGAGAAGTGAGAGAATGAGAGAGAAGAGGGAGAGAGAATGAGAGAGAGAGAATGAGAGAGAAAGAGAGTGAGAGAATGAGAAGACGAAAGAGAGTGAGAGAATGAGAGAGAAAGAGAGTGAGAGAAGAGAGAAGAAGAGAGTGAGAATGAGAGAGAAAGAGAGTTTGAGAGAGACGAGTCGATGAAAAGAGAGAGAGAGAGAGAGAGAAAAGAGAGTGAGAGAAATGAGAGAGGCGCGCAGAATGAGAAGAGAGAGAGAGAGGGAGAGAATGAGAGGAGAGAGAGTAGAGAATGAGAATGAGGGAGAGAGCAGTGAGAGAATGAGAGAGAGAGAGAGAGTGAGAGAATGAGAATGAGAGAGAGAGTGAGAGAATGAGAATGAGAGAGAGAGGAATGTGAGAGAGATGAGAGAATTGAGAGAGAGAGATGAGAGAGATGAGAATGAGAGAGAGAGAGTGGAGAGAGAGATAGAATGAGAGAGAGAGAGTGAGAGAGAGAATGAGAGAGAGAAGTGAGAGAGAGTGTAGAGAGAAAGTGAGAGAGAGAGTGAGAGAATGAGAGAAGTGAGAGAATGAGAGAGAGTGAGAGAATGAGAGAGAGTGAGAGAATGAGAGAGAGTGAGAGAATGAGAGAGAGAGTGAGAGAGATGAGAGAGGAATGAGAGAATGAGAGAGTGAGAGAATGAGAGATAGTAGATGAGAGAATGAGAGAGAGTGAGAGAATGAGAGAGAGTGAGAGAATGAGAGAGGTGAGAGAGAGTGAGAGAATGAGAGAGAGAATGAGAGAGAGTGAGAGAATGAGAAGAGTGAGAGAATGAGAGAGAGTGAGAGAATGAGAGAGAGTGAGAGAATGAGAGAGAGTGAGAGAAATGAGAGAGAGTGAGAGAATGAGAGAGTGATGAGAAATGAGAGAGTGATGAGAGAATGAGAGAGAGAGAGAGAGAGATGATGAGAGAGAGAGAGAGAGAGATGAGAGAGAGAGAGAGAGAGAGATGAGAGAGAGAGAGAGAGAGAGAGAGAGAGAGAGAGAGAGAGAAGAGAGAGAGAGAGGAGAGAGAATGAGAGAGAGAGAATGAGAATGAGAGAGAGAGAGAGTGAGAATGAGAATGAGAGAGCGAGAGAGAGTGAGAGAATGAGAATGAGAGAGAGAGAGAGAGTGAGATGACGGAGAGATGAGGAATGAGAGAGCGAGAGAGAGTGATGAGAATGAGAATGAGAGAGAGAGAGAGAGAGAGAATGAGAGAGAGAGAGAGAGAGTGAGAGAATGAGAATGAGAATGAGAGAGAGAGAGATGTGTATTTATGGGTATCTGAGGGGGAAGATAAACACGGATGGGATTTTAATGTTGAGAAAAGAGTATTTTCTAGCTGGAAGAAATGAAAGAAATATCACTGACAGTGAAGTGAAATGACAGCGAGTCGTGCCTGAGGGTGGGTACACAAAGTGACAAGATTGAAAGAAAGTGAATGCGAATTAATGGTGCCACATTCATAAATTTCATAATATTCATCTTGGCGAACACTTCAGGGAACAGAATTAGTTTTTAGTGTTTACATGCTAATCTCTCCACACAGCTGGTTTACGTACCTGTAGGTCAGTGTGTGCTCGTTATCCTATCCATCAAGTTGTACACTTAACACATGCATTTTAAACAATGATATAGGCCTATGGGGATTTTTTGTGTGTTCTTTGAGTCTTTTTCATGCGTGCGATGCGAATCACGTATGTAGGCCTATGCTTGTTTACATTTGGAAGACCTAAGACGCCCGCGAAGGCACAGCAGATAACAGCGAACGCTTCCTGATAAAGCGTCTCGTAGAATTCGTCCCAGAAGAGAATTTCCGATTAAAATGCACAAGCAGAACGAGCGTTTAGTATGCGATCTCACCTTTGATCCTGGAGCAAGATGACGAAAAGCGACTCGGAGGGGAACGGACGATCGGGTTCTGCACGAGGAGAGCGCGTAGGATGAACTTACTTTCTTAGTATAGAGTCGTTAGGGCCAGAAGCCAATTGCGAAGGAGGACGTTTGTCTTGCGGAAAGTGTAGAATGTAAAACAATACAGGCGCTTCGAAAATACGAGATATTGGCGCTTGGCAACTCCCTTCTACGAGTAGCTACAGTCCTCGGCCTCGTCATCTGTTCTTCGTTCGCTTCTTCCCGGGGCTTGTCTTTATTTTGGGACGTTGCACACCCTCGGTCCAGCTGGAAGAATACTTGATCCCCCAGGATGTGTGTGGCAGACACGTGGTGAAGCCTGGGAATCGTGAGGAGAGGCGTGCAGAGGCGGTGCTCGTCGTACCTCTGGCGCCATCCATGGGGGCGGACTTGGGGTGGGTACCGGTCGCGGTTTCCAGCTACTTTTATTTTGTTTTGTATTTTCTGGGATGTATTTGTCTGCTCAGGTGTGTGGATTTTTTCGGATACTGATCAGTTTGTGGATTGCAACCGCTGGCGAATGTTTTCCCGAGACGAACGGCGGGCGATCTGACGGGATATTGGTTTCTGTGGGATGTTGCAGCACCAGGTAAGGGCATGGGGTGTGTGACGGGGGGGTTTGAAGGGTGGGAGGACCTGTAGCCTGTCAGTCTAACATTGACCCTGTTCCTGTCTGTATGTCCTGCTGCTCGTGATACTCCGTGCTTGCACGCTAGGATGCCGCACGGCTCTAGGTGTGAGAAGTGAAACGAACTCCAGGCTGGAGTGCAGTGCTTGACATTTCGATGACAGGCTGCGAATCTGTCATGTCCGCGAGGTGATGGTGACGCTCAGTGTGGTTTGACTGTTAAGTAAGGAGACAGTGAGTTAGTGGGCAGCCCGCCCAGTGGATGACCAGATTCACGTCCAGCCAGGGCCTGAACCCTTCGGGTGCGAGTGCTCCGCGTGCGGGAAGAAGTGTGGCCTCCTTTAGTAAGGATTTAAAGTCCGATATCTCCCATGAGCGAGGATAACCAAATGAGTACGCCCGTACGCCCACAAACGCCCACAGCGTGCCCAGGAATGTATACTTGTAGGACCGGTCTGGCGTGGCCTGCATATTAAACTGAACCTGAGCCTCTCAAGCAACATACACTGGCATTCTCGTGGATGTTGTCTGTCGGTGTCGGTGGCGCTAGCAACGTGAATCGGTGTCGTTAGTGAGGATGGTGTGAGGGCCACGAGGAGGGTGGTCGTCCTGGGCTAGGAGGAACGACTCGGCACGACATGTGGCCAGCTGGCGGAGACGACCAGTTGTGAGTGTTGACATTCGGCAGGTCATCCTCCAAGCTTACCTCCTCCTCACCCTCTCGAGGACCCGTCGGGGATCCTCTCGACCGGGCACCCTACCTCCCCCGCTTGGTGGCACCGTCTCTCGCAGCCATGGAAGGTGACAACAACAACAACAACAGCGAGAGCGGGGAGAATAAGCTGAGCACCCCGCCCCCCGAGGATAAGCAGAACGGCGAGAACCACAAGCACAGGAGGAAGAGCAGAGAGAGAGACAAGGAGAGAGACGAGAAGAGTCGCATCCCCATCTACCAGGTACTTGATGACGAGGCTTTCAGTGCGGTTTACCTCCGCAGGTTTATTTCGATCCTCTCCCTCCTCCTTTTTCGCATTTTTTCGTCTCCCTTTTCCTCAGTCCTGTTCTGATACGATAGGCATTTTGTGTTTGCCTTTACTGTATTTATTTTGCACTACGTTGTTTCCGTATTTATGCCGAGAAAAATAACGAAAATGAAAAACGAGGAGAGACTTTTAGGGATTAACAGAAACAAGTGATGTTTTTTATGATGTTTATTCTAAAAAAAAGTTCCCATCTATACTGCAGGCGTTCGACCCAACCGTCGGCAAAACGGAAGTTTCTCTCAAAGTGTGATGATAGCTCTGATAAGTTAATTACCTGCTGTGGTGCAAATTAGATTATGCACTTTTATTCAAGAAGTAAAGATTAGATACGATAACAACGAACGATATTAGTTTATGAAGGAGAATTATAAAGAATTTCAAAGAAAGTTTGAGGTATACAGTGAACGTGCCACATTAGGATGTTGACATTCAGATTTTAAAAAGGTCTGATGTTAGAGATATTCAGTATTCAGTTTATATATATATATATATATATATTATATATATATATTATATAATTATATATACTTATATATTATATATATATATATATATATAATATATATAATATATATATGTGTGTGTGTGTGTGTGTGTGTGTGTGTGTGTGTGTGTGTGTGTGTGTGTGTGTGGTGTGTGTGTGTGTGTGTGTGTGTGTGTGCACGCATATGTATACATATATATATATATATATATATATATATATATATATATGTATATATATATATTATATATATATGTATATGTATGTATACATATATATATATATATCTAATATATGCATATTCATGTCTACTATACAATACATATATACATATACATGTATTATATATATATATATATATATATATATAATATTATAATATATATATATATTATATATATATATATATATATATGGGTACATGTATATGTATATGTATATTATGTATAGTAGACATGAATATGCATATATGTAGATGTATATATATTGTATATGTGTAGATACATATATACATATATATATATATATATATATATATATATATATATA